GAAGGAGAGAACATGTAAGGTGGAAAGTAGGGGAAAGAGAAGGAGGAGAATGAGAGAAAGAAGGGAAGATGGAGGAGGAGGAGGAGGAGGAGGAGGAGAGAAAGAAGCCTAAGTGAAGATGGAGGAGAAAGAGAAGGAGGAGAATGAGAGAAAGGAGGTTAAGTGAAGATAGAGGAGAAAGAGAAGGAGAGAAAGGAGAAGGAGAGAAAGGCGGTTGTGAAGATGGAGGAGGTGGTGGTGGTGGTGGTTGTGGTGGTACGAGAAGACGCCCACCTCACCCCGCCGTCCCCTTCTTCCCCTTTCAGTGCTTCCATCGTGACTCAGCAGCCATCTGACATCTTTCCCCGCCCCTGAGGTCCTATTTCCTCCTGGGTCCCTCTAACCTGCTTGGCCAGGTGCCCGTCCCTCGCAGGCCAGCTGGACCACTGCCACCCTCTGGTGGGAAAAGGACACCGGTGTCCCTCGGCTCCCCAAACCCCAACACCCCAGGATCCTTGGCCCAGGAGAAGCAAGGGGTCAGCTTACACCAAGGCAGGCGGACGCTTGGCCCCTTCGGCCTCCTCTCATGTCCAGGTCAGGTTCTTCCTGTTCTGAGCAGCCAATGTTTCCTCTGGAAACACCAGCAACGCCCTGGCCTCGAGGGGACGGCGGCTGGAGGCCTGAGAGGAGCCCGCCCAGGGTTTTCTGAGTCACTCGGCTGCAACCTCCTGGGTTTCATGGCTGGGATCTTCTGGTCCTGCTGGAGATGCCTGGAGGCAAAACGTTTGGCCTTCTACCTGTGTCCTCCTCACCAACCGTCTGCCTGTGGCAACCTTAACCTGAACTCTCCTTGACTCAGAAGAACTCCGGGAGGTGTTGTCCCTGAGCCATAAACGAATTCCTTAGGCTGAGCCACACAACCCTGAAGCATCGTGGCTGGCGGGTGACACAATGTCTGGTGGAGTAAGCGAAAGGGGAAGAGAGAGAGAGAGAGAGAGAGTGTGTGTCTAAGGTTCATTACCATGATGGGCGGCAACCCCATGAATGGAAAGCATCCATCATCTCAGGAGGCTTCCTGGAACTTCTGGGGAAGGCCATCTTTGTGGTGTCCCTCCCAAGAGAATCCTTCTGGAGGAGGGTCTGATGGGTGGAAGTGTCTTGCGTGGGGCAGGAATCTTCTTCTTTCGACCTTAGTAGAGTCCTCCTCCTCTTTGCAGGTGATAGAAGAATTTTACAACCAAACATGGTTCAACCGATACGGGACGTACATCACCCCGGGCATGCGGACCACTCTCTGGTCCCTCTCAGTCTCCATCTTCTCCGTCGGTGGGATGTTTGGTTCGTTCTCCGTCGGGCTCTTTGTCAACCGCTTTGGACGGTAAGTCAGAGTAGTGGAGGACCCTGGAGGTCTTCTAGCCCGACCCCCGGCAAAGTCAACCTTCTCCTTTCCTTTGATCCTGACCGTTTTGCTGACAGTGGTTGTCCTTCCTCTCCCCAGGAGGAATTCCATGCTGATGTCCAATGCTCTGGCTTTCCTCTCGGCCATCCTGATGGGCTTCTCCAAGATGGCCGGCTCTTTTGAGATGCTGATCCTCGGACGTTTCATCGTGGGCATTTACTCGGGCCTCACCACCGGCTTTGTGCCCATGTACGTGGGCGAGGTGTCCCCCACGGCTCTGAGGGGGGCGTTGGGAACACTCCACCAGCTTGGGGTCGTGGTGGGAATCCTGGTTGCACAGGTGAGAGGCTCTCGGGGGGGAGGGGATGCATGGGTCTGTTGAGGGGGAAGGATGGATCCTTGACCGACAACATCAAAATGGCTGGATTGAAACAGTCACAACCAAAGGGCCCGCCATAATCCCACAGGTTTTCAAATTCCAAGAAGGTTTTCCAACTAGGATGGAGGTTGAGGGTTCAAGAGGCCATTTCCCAACTAGACATGGGGTCCTTGAAGCTTGCAGGGTTTTAAGACGGAAATATTTTGCCCACCACGCTTCGTTCCACCAGATGCAACCACTGTGTTTCTTATCTGGAGGAATCCAGGAATGGGCTGCAGTCTTTGTTGCACAAGTCCACACACCCCACACAAAACACAATGGAGAAGAGCTGTGGGATAAACCTGTGGTAGCTAAAGGGGGACAATCCAGAAGATCATCCCGCTCCATCCCAATTTAAATCCTAGTCTATACCACGCATGTGAGGAACTGAGGAGCAGAGCTTCAAGGGGGACCGTGGTCTTCTAGGAGAACGTGGGGACCCGTTTCTCCTGGTCGTTCGAGGAACAGGCGTCTCAGGGATCTTCACGTTTCCTGGGCTTCCGTCCTCACCTTCCCAACTGTGCCTTTTCCCACAGATTTTCGGTATCGACCTCATCATGGGGAACGAAACCCTGTGGCCCCTCCTGCTGGGCTTCACCTTCATCCCCTCCTTGGCCCAGTGTATCCTGATGCCGTTTGCCCCCGAGAGCCCCCGCTTCCTCCTCATCAACCGCAACGAGGAGAACAAAGCTAAGAGTGGTAAGTTGGCAACAGTCGCTGAGACGGGCAGGTCACGTCTTCCGGATTCCTCGATGGCCGTGGTCTCCCGTTTCTCCACGGTGGGCCTCTCTCTTGGCCTACGAAACCCAAGCCCACCTCCAGCTCCTCCAGGCCTCCTGATCTGGGGCAGACCAGATCACCGTGAAATGTTCCCATGTAGCCCCCAAGCGTTCATTGAAGGCCGGCGTGTCCAGATGTGAGTTCTGAAGGAAGGTCTCTTGCCTTATCCTTTCGAACAATCCCACAGCGGAGGGAGGCGCCTGGGACGCTCGCCTGACTTTTATCAGAGAGGGCTGCCTGGAGGTCTTCTTAACTCCAGAACAACAGGAGCCACCTTGGAGGTCTTTTGGTCCAGGGGTTGGCTCTGGGGCCACAAGTGGCTCTTCCCTCCCTCTCCTGCGTCTCCCTGTTGCCCATCAGCTCCACAATTGACAGGGCTTTCGGTTAGGACAGGTAGGAGAAGAAGGACACCACGCTAGGAGGAGACTTTAAGAGCCAAGGTGGCGCAGTGGTTAAATGCAGCACTGCAGGCTACTGCTAGATCAGCAGTTCAGCGGTTCAAATCTCACCGGCTCAGGGT